TGAGGGATATGCATGTATGTACGCGTAATTACTGGTCACGTGTAGATAAGATTAGATTTGAAAAATAAATCGTAACAGGTTTGATTTGAAACACCTTCAACATCACCATATCGTTTGACCTCACGAAGCTCGGTTTGCGAAATAAATAGATGCATTTAGAGTAAGCTCATTACCCTCGCAATGACGATTCATATGACCACATTACACTGATATCGCTACGAAACGACAGGGGCAGACGTCTATCTGACTACTTCGCAAATTTTCGGAGCTGCAATCAACGGCGAAGATCCCGAGCATTGTCCATTTTGCAGATCAGGCGAGATGCCACGGCAGCAATCTAAACAAACCACTCAGCTTTTCTATCATTCGGATACCCGATGGCACGTCATCTGAAGTCCTGGCAGAGAACTTCATAAAGTGACAGATATCTACATAGTATGCCCCGATTCTGATTTTTCACCATCGTTTAATCGGTTTAATCAACTTGCTGTTCCAGGGTAGTCTCGTTATGCATATGAACGAAGATCAATTTCCCAGCGAGACGGAAACTTATATTCGACATCTTGAGGCCAGTAAGTGAATAAAATTCACTTTCGCCCGAAAATAAATTGAAACATTCTAGCATTAACTAATGTTCACCAAGTGTCGACGTTTGAACATTACGGCCATGAAATCATTGAGGAAGGGTATTTTAGTGGTCTTTGGTTGCTTTAGGGTCGTGTTAGCTGACAGGCGTTTCTAAGGAGACGTGTAGTCTGTGGGCGTGTGCTGACACGCGTCTTCCACGCTGTTAAAAGTATTTAGACCATTCAATCGTTCAAAACGCGTTTTCAGCTTTGCTCCCAAACCCATAGCTAGCCGTCTTACAAGATGACCTCGGACCTCCCGCAAGAGATCATTGATGCGATTTTACAGGAGCTACGCACAGATCTCACCGCTCTTCGACAATGCCTACTTGTCTCATCGTCATTCCGCTTTGCGAGCAGACGTCACCTCTTTGCACACGTTACGCTGCGCTCTTTGGAAAAATGTAAAATTTACCTCACCCATCACGCTGACACTGTTTGCCTTGTTCGCAAACTACGCATCATCGACTCAGGCTGGGCGAAATCAGAGGGCGCCTTTGCTTTCTCCGCAGCTTTGCTACTCTTTGCCGATTCAGGAGTACTCGATACGTTCAACTTCGATTACCGAGAAGAGGGCTCAGAAGAGACTAAGATCGCAGAAGATACCGCATTATCGCGTCTCCTCAGCATCTTCGACGTCTTGGAGTGGCGTGCAAACCAGCTCATGTCAATCCTCCAACCTGAACGGGGGAAAATTCTCTTTCCTAGAAGCCGTGCTATTTCAAGCCTCCTTGGTTCCGAGCGCCTAAGCACCATCATTATTGACGGCGCCCCTCTGTGCGCGTTCCCGCTTGAAATCCTCGCGGGAGTACCAGCACTCCGACATCTTGCCTTCACAGCTCCGTGTGTGGGCCGTATCTGCCACATGCTTTCATTATCTATGAAGCTCCCTGAAGAGTTTACGCAGCTAGAAGCTTCATCATATACCCTTCGCCAGGCCGTCGCCGCGCGCACTGTTGAAGGTTCAAACCGCCTCAGATATCAACAGGATCCATCGAAGTTTGAGCCAGCTTCATATTTGCACTCACTCGATGCGAGGGGGAGTCACCTAGACCACCTGGTCGATTACCTCTGGCCCCAGCTGAAGACGTTGCGGCGCCTGCGCATCGCAGCGACTACTGACTGCGAGCCTCCCCTATTATGGGAACTTCTCGAGTTCTGCTTCGACAGCCTCGTCTCCTTCCGTTGGGACGATGTCAGCAAAGCCTATTGTACGTCTACCACCCTACTTCAGCGTCATTTGTCTCTGAATCACAGCGCCAGACACTCTCGAAGACCCGCCAACGCGGAGCTTTGCCGCGCATCTCCGCCTCTTTGTATACGAGCTACGCTCGATCCACAGCGCAGACACCGCCTTCCGCCTCCTCGAGACTACGCCGCTCCCACCAACGCTGGAATACCTCGCGGTAGTGACACGTGCGTTCAACCCCAACGGCTCCGCTTCGGACCACGATGTTATGCACGCGGATCGCCACCTTTCACGCATTGCGACATCCTACCCGTGCCTGCGCCACATCTATCTAGCGTTAGTCGTGCTCCCCGGTGAACGCGCGCCGGCCTATCGATGGATTGAGGGTTGGTTTCATGTCACGAGGCAGAGTGGAATATTTGAGCTTTTGATTGGATCGCGAGAAGAGGTCGAGGAGGTGTTGGAGGACCTAGATCGTATTGTGTGCCAATGAATCTATTTTTTCGGTCATCATTCTTTCATATTCGGTGAAGAATTCACCAGAGTCCAAGGCGCTATAGTGTAGTGGTTATCACTCGGGATTTTGATACACGATTGATTTCCCGAAACCCAGGTTCGAACCCTGGTAGAGCCTCTTTCATGACGTCGACGTCATTTTTACAAAGTTCTATCTGCTGCTTTTTGTAGAGTTATCTGTGTCCACTTTCCCACACTGTTCTTACTCACATTTCTAATATCCTTGAACCCTTTAATTTTGCCAAATCTTATAATCTTTTTTATCGAATTCGGCACTGGTGCGCCACAACTCCGGTATTCGGATATTATTCACGTAACTCTACCATCCTTATTGTGCTTCTGAGAATCCCGTATAATAATGAATCAGATTTTTTATTTTTCTGCGAGGCTAAGTAAACTGTAGGGAGTTGCAGTTACTCATCGAGCGTCGCCGAGAAGTTCAATGGTTACATCAATCTCAACCAATAAATAGATGCGTACAAGGATTCAACCACAGGAGCGCGTTGATAAAAATTGCATGATTAGCTAGATCAAGAACGAAGCATATTTATCCAACCAAAGATCTGAAAATAAATGCATCGGTTAGAAAGAAAAAGAGATCTGATCCTCGACAAAAGAATTATCTACCTGTAGATCACTACAAAAACGATTCGAATGGCGGGACCGATGCCAGTGCAGTCTCTATTTCCGCCCATTCGCCTCTCTGGTTGAACGCTGCCTTGAGCGATGCGCGGGAACGTTTTTCCTCGAGATCCGCCCATCGCTCCTTCTGCGAAGTTGTGCCTCGGCCACCAAGGCCAGTAGAGTCCAGCGATCCACTAATTGTATTTTGGCGTGAAGAACTTGCTGCCTTGGGTTGATCGGGGGTCTGAACATCTGTATCCCGATGATGATCAACCGAAGGCATCGTTGGTTCAGCTTTACGAGTAGGATCTTCTTCCATAAAAGGATCCTTCCCCCAATCAATCGGAAGGCCTTTGTCTGCAGCTTTAGTAGTAGCCTTTAGTCCCCCACCGCGATTTTTTTTTTTCGCGGGAGGATTCTCCGCCCAAGCGACCGAAGGGGCCGTCTCAGCAGGCTTTACTCCCCAACCATGGAACGAAGGCAACTTCGGTACAGCTTGGTCAGCTGGCTTTTCTCCCCAAGGCGTTTCTCCCCAACCACTAGCTTTTTTCGGTTGAGGAATGTCCTTTGTCGATGGGGAAGCCCAGTCAATAGGGGAGGAAGGCGGGCTCGGGTCGAGAGTAGCAGGAACCTGTGACCCCCGGCCGCCGCTTTTTTGGGGATGGGCGTTAGGTTCATAAGAGTCCGCCTCGCCTGTACTAATAGTAGGCCCAAGGCCTAGCTTATTTTTGATCGTAGAGAAAGCGGCGCGGGACCAGGACTCGCGGTAGCGCACCTACTGGGTGATGAGTCCACAGCATGTATTTTTTCTGGTGCGTAGAACAGTATCACTTACCCACGGGATGAACATCACTGGGGAAAGACGCTGTACGATTTCGTCCATAGGGATATCGAGAAGCTCAGGTGCTGCAGCACTCATGATGTCCTGGTAACCGTAGCGTGCGGCGTAGTTGAATACTTCCAGTGCATGGGCAGGGAGCGTATACCTAAATAAAGCAGACACGCGTCAATTGACTCAGCCGTGATGTTGGAACGTCTGGTCAACGTACTTCATGCGCGCCCGGCAAATGTTCATCGCAGCATACACCTTGTACTTCTCTGCTGCCTCTGCTAGCGGGGCAAGGACCTCAAACGCCGTGGTCTCGAGATGCGGGTGAACTTGTGGATAGATGAACTGAAAAAGAAGCTCGAGAGTCTCTGCGGTCTGGTCGCGCAGTGGCACGATCTCGCCATCAACGGCTACCTCCCCTGGTCGGAGAGCACCGCAATTGAATTCGATGTTTTGGCGGTGGATGCGGAATAGGACATTGTCGGAGGAAAGGAACGAGACGTCAGCATCGCTTGCGTTGACCAGACAAATTCAAGACATGTAAGTCGCTCGCGGGATCGCTGATCTTAAGAATTGAGAACTTACACCTCTCAGATGCCTTGTTCTCGCTGCCCATGACCAAAAAAATTGAATTTGCTGATGAAGAGATGAGGATTGGGATGAAAGGTTGGAGGTTACCAGGGAATCAGATACTGGTATCGATCATGCTAGTGCCTCGAGCATTCGGGAGCTTAAATGAGCTTCTTGGGAGATAGTGCGCACTTTGACCTTAACTCCCTAGGACAATTCAATCATTCTCATTGCACATACCCCAAATTACCCACTTTTCAACGATATTGAACGTTCTAGGGACAGTTGCAGAGAAAAGGCCTGTGAACTGCTCCAGGTGGCAAACCTGGCGGTTTTTACGGCGGTTCGACGAAATTTGATCATGGTTAGAAACTGTTGGCGCCTCAGCCTCGCTTGAACCTTCAAAATCGATTTGGGGGTCTTTAGGTTTGCAAGAGATGTACAAAGTCTCCTGCGAAGTAGAAAGACATACTGCGGCACTGTGGAAAGCGAGCAACGTGGGCCTGGCACCGTTTCTCGATTCCGACCACGGTGACGTATTACACGTATACCTGGCTATACCATGCTGCCTTCTCGATTCTGCCAAGGCCTTCTACTTGTCTTAAAAGATCATCCTACTCTCCATCCCTACGAGACTTTCCCCGTCGTGTGCGAAGTCTGCGCCGAGGCTATTCACTTTATTGAGGTGCGTCATATTGCAACGTGAGGATGGGTCTAATCTAATCGACCTAGTAATATGCAGAAGACCTCCTCCTGAACGTTGAACTTTTGTATCTCCATCCCGCTCGTCTAAAGCAACTCCTTTACCGCCACCGCTTCTTCCACAACGCCGACATCGCACTGCCCGCATTGACCCTTTACATCCCCACTCCAGTCAGAGTCCCAGTGCCCACCACGCCCAGCACCTTCCCCATCTTACCCTAGTCAACCTTTTCGCTCTAGCAGCTCGTGGGATGGGACTCCCCGCCCGCCGCGCCTCAAGAGACAGCTCGTCCACCTCATTCTTCAGCGCGTTCCGCGGACTCGCCGAGTGGCACCACGACGCATATACCCAGGCCTCAAATACCTTCTGAGCCCCTGATAAAGCTAACAGAGGCCATCTCGCCCGCCATTAGGGACCTGCGACGTCAAGCTCCAGCACTAACGCAAAGCGCACTCCCAAGCCCCAAGCCCTTGCAAACGCAGGAGAAGACACAGGATCAAGATGGAGTTACGCAGCAGGAGAAGACGCCGAGGACTGCCGCATGCAGGTCTAGCGGCACCATGGTGTGCAAGATCTGCAGCAGCCCGCGCATCCCCAACGTCTGGCCTATGTTCTCTCTCCGCTCTCCGCGGTATCATACTAACGCCCGCCGCAGGACAGCGGAATGCCCGTCCTCCCCCCTCCGAACACATCTCAGGAATGGATCAGAGACCTCCTGCCCGCCGCCGCCGCAGTTCCACACCGCGAAGTACCGCGTGCTTTGGTTCCTCTCAACCGTGTTGCCGGTGGATGCGCCGGACGTGATGTACAGCACGGCGGTGGCGGGGGAGGTAGCGAGGGGGGGAGGGGAAAGAAGCGGGAAGGGCTGCCGGTGAGGAAGAGGATGAGGACGGGGAGGTGCTCATGTGGCCATCTCTCCTCCACCATCGATCTCGGCTCGCTCTTGATCTTGCCCTCCAGCTGCTCCTCCGCTCCGTCCTCGGGATCACCGCTCGAGTACACGTACACCTACGATGAGGATGAGAGGCTCCCCAGCATGCCTGAACCCACCTACACTGGATGCCCATGGTCACGCACATGCGAAGGCCCCGGTAAGTCGATCTCTTTCGGGTGGAGCCCGAGGACTGGCGTCTCTTCAGTCGATGCTCGTCGTGTCGTAGTGGCGCGTGGGCCTTTCTCCTCGATGTGCCCCCGCTGCTTTTGTGGGTGCCACGCCGCGGCCTCGGTGTTCTCCTCAGACAACCGGGTGGCAGGCGCACCGTAGTAGTAGGGCACGGCCGAGGCTTCACGCCCAACGACAGACTGAGCAGCGAGCAGTGAGAAGATCCCTATGTTAGCCCTGTTATCGCTCCCATCCGGTGTGGTAGGGCTGACGGCCCTCTTCCCTGCCAATGAAGACTCAATATGTAGGATTTCGGTGTGGGTTCCATTGTTTTCGTGATTTCAAACTTACTTCATCACTCCGTCGTTTTCTATACCATGGCTCCCTTCATCATACCTCTCCCATTCCTGTAACCCTATCAATTGTCTAGAGGAAGATGCGTACCACGGCCTGAGCTGATGCGGACGACCGAGTAGTAGCTGCGACGCGTCCAGGTCGCGCCAATTGCACGTGCCCGGGGTCACGGCATCCTGACGCGCCTGCGCTCCTCGGAACTCCGTTGAGGTCCTGGTCCCGAAGTGCCCGCCCAGTCCAGTCAATACCCTTTCACGTTTGTCACTTTACCCGACCATCACCTGCCTCG